CCCCCCCCCCCCCGCTTCATCCCCCTGCGTCCCTGGATGAGCCACCTGGGCTCTGAATCCCACAATCCACCCCAGGGCCCCACTCACCCCAGCCCCTGCTTCTGCTCAACTCCCTTCCTCCCTGTGGGGGCCTCAATCTGCCAGTATTGCTACACCAAAAAATGGAAAAAACTCCAAAGCCTCCTGCACCTGCTTTCATCCAAGATATGTTATAAGACCCTGGCTTCACCATGCTGGCTTTCAGAAAAGGAAAGGAGAAAAATATACTATTTAAGCTGGAAGCTGAAAAGTGTATGTGCTTTTAAGATACTATTGTGGCTTCCAAGTGGACAAAGAAGACCTTGGGCTTCTGCATTTCTTGTTGTGGGGCAGAAGCATGATCACAAGACCTGTGTCACTTACTCTGTTCTACTCTATTTTCTTTATAAGGACTTGAAGTCTTCAACAAAAATAGTGGCTGCCATAGCAAGCCACACACAAACCATTTTACATGCAGAATTCCTCATAAATGTACTTTAGAGTTCTAGCTCTTTATCAGTGTTCATAGATCTTCTTGGTCCTGTATTCTGTGGGCTGCCTAGTCCAAATAGGCTAGCATGCCTTTTGTATTTTCACCCAGGGAGTATCAGTTGGTCTCAACAAAGTAGCTAATGGAAACCAGCATCTTGCTAAAGATGCCTAATCTAGGGTTTTTTAAGTTTTACCGTACTACATATTAAAGGAACCTTTGGCACAAATGGGTGGATTTTTCTCTTCAAAGCACACATAGATCTCTTGAGAAGTTCTCATTTATAATTCCCAAACTGTAGATGCCTTCTTTGAGACCTTAAGTCACTTTTCTCTTGTGAAACCTGGCCCTGATCCTATTTCTCCCAGTCCATAAGGATTTTATATCTCTCCCAAAGTCTGCCCACCATAAGCACTAAAAGTGTTAAGAACAGAAGTAGGGAGTAAAGACAGGCTAATAGAAGTGCTCAAAGTGACGAGATACCCAGAAGCTTCTTCACAGCTCTGAACCATACTGCTGAGCTAAAAATTTAAATAACCTTCATTGAAAAGGTTGGGCAAAAGCATAGGTTGGGCTGCTGATATGGTGGAAAACTAAATGTCTTTATGATGAATTTGACCCTTTTTATCTTCAGAAGCTGAAATGTATGGAATTAGAAATTTCCAAATTCCACGGCAGAGAGGACAACAGGAAAGTATGATTTGGCTGCATAATGTAGTTTCTTCTTTTCTCCTTAACCCTCCCCACATAAACCATTCTGTAGGGATTGTTTAGAGCAGGGGTTGTCAACCAGGGGTATGCATACCCTCAGGGGTACTTAGAAAAGTCTTTGGGGATACACGTGGGAGAAGACTCCCCACACATCTTCCTGCTGCTATCCTGATGCATCCTGACAATATTTACATCATAATACAGTGCTTATAGGGTCTCAACAAGACTGGCAGAGAAGCAGTGAAGCTGAGAGCAGCCATCTCCACAGTCTCTTCTGCCCCAGAGATGTAGGAGCTTCCACAGAGCTGGAGGGGATGTGAGGAATTTATCATAGAGTAATCCCTTTCCAAGCCCAATGGATCTATAATTTTCTCTTTCCCTGCCACCTGTGCAAACAGAGGACAACACTGGGGCTCTAACTGTACAATCTGTAAATTAAGGGTCTAACACATACTGCATCTTGGTAGTTTTAAGTAGTGTGTTGTGGCAAATCTCCTATTTGAAGTGGGATTAAAGAGTACTCAACTTTCTTAAAGTAAATGTAGTGCATAGACCACAAAGTACTCACAACTGCATGGAGTATTAGCTGTGTAGTTTCTGTAGATTAGTAGGGAAGAAGTTCAGTTAGCTAACTCTCCTGATACTGAAAAGGGATATTTGATATTGAATCAGTAGCAGCAGTGATCACTTGGCCTCTTCTGAGACCCTGGGATGGGAAGATACCTTTTTCAATAGCTTCAGACTACAAACAGCAGAATTCAGGAGCTATGTTAATTCAAACATTATATTCCCATTGCTTCTATAGCTTTCTTTATTCTTGCATTTTATGTGTCTATTTCCTTCGGGTGGGGGAGACACTGGGAAATATGGAAGATAATACTACCTAAAAATACTCAAGTGAAATTCTGAATCAACCAAGAAGAAGGGAAATACTGTTCTGGATTTAAAGGAGTGTTTTTTTAAAAAAAGATAAGAACAATTAGAAATCAACATTCGGGGGGGGGGTGGAGGGGAGGTACTCATTTCCTGGATAGAAAGAATAATGGGGCAGTATAATGGCAATCTAATAAAAATAAATATTGCTAAACTATAACTTTTTTTTTTTCTTAGCTTATCTGTATGTGAGTTGAGATTTAAATGCCAGCATTCTGATTCATGTATGACACATTTGTTTTTCTTATTTATTCACTTGGTGCCTTTGGTACTTTGGGGCAAAGCTCAAACCAGGCGTAACGCCCAGCATGCAAGTGACAGGTTAAGAGCAGGCATGTGACTGTTAGGAATGTACATTGTCAACATACCTAGCTGACAAGGTACTGACTGAGCGTGAGATAACTGGGAATTTAGATATGGTTACATTTTAGTCAGGAAGAATGCCTGTAACAAAATCAAGGGGCAGTTGCATGAAATCTGGAACAAATCACCAGACAGAAATAAGGTATGTTAGTAATTTAAAATACTCTTACAGAAGAGAGCCAGTGTTCACCTAGCTGTGAGTGTTATATTGAAACAGCACTGATCAGTAATACAATTCTCCTTGAACATTATTAATCAGTGTCTTCTACGGCTGCCAAACAGAGACATTAGGAATGTCAAAAGTTTTTAAAGAATTATAAATGACTTTATCTAGCTCATTAAAGCAAAATGGGGCAGGGACGCTCTTGAGAGGCAAGGTAGTATAAAAAATAATCGTATACTGAGGAGCTGATGTCTCGAAAAGTTATAATAGCAAGTCTGGTATCTCACTAGAAATGCTGCATAATGTTGATCCAGTGCTTGAGAGAAAATTATTGTTCAGAACTGTTTTATTGTATGATTGTTCATCCCCAGCCCTGCCTCCAGCCAGCTGTCAGCAGCAGCCAGGGGGAGTGGAGAAGAGGGAAATCCTGGCATCTATGTCCTTGCTTCTGTGTTCCTGCATGACAGAATAGAGAGGGGAGGGGGGACTGCCCCCCCATGACGGGCACAGTGGGGAGCAGTCCCCTTTCCCCTCATTGCTCTGACAGTGGAAATGTATGCGAATGCCCTTTTATCTGCTAGAAATCCTATGGCTAGGGGAACACTTTTGTCTTAGCAAGGTAGTAAGCCCCATCTCTCCAATGATATGATGCAGCATAGCCTCAGCCCCCCCCCCAATAACTACATGTGTATGTTTTTTTTCTGCATAGGATGATATGATCTGAACCCCGTTTTTTGATGTTCTTCTTACAATGTTCACATTTTTCCCCCTACAACAGTTTTCTCCTAATATGGCATTCTTTATTGCTAGTTCCAGGTTTCCACTGATAACAATCTAAAGAGGCTGAGAAACTGGAGTATATAAGGAAAAATGAGGATACAACCATAGCTCTGTGTGAAGGAACTAAGGGAGCACTATAATGAGAGGAGATTCCCCGAGTCTTCTCCTCACCCCCCTATCCACCAGAACCATTGCTTTGACTATACATTCATCTCAGCATTGCAAGTTTGAAACATTGCCATGCTGTGCAGCTTCAGCTCTAACAGAAAAAGACTGTAAAAAGTTGGGAGCGTGCCGCTGTCCTTTGTGAAGATGAAACATTGCCCCCTCTGGCAAAAGAAGTGTTCACAGAATACTTGACTTCATCCGTGAGGGTCCTTCTTGAATCCCTTCTATTTCTCAGTGTCTTTTGTAAGAACAGGCAAGCAATTCAAAGTGCAGGGCTTAGTTTTAGACTTAGCCCCAGCTTGAAATAAACTGAGAAACTGAGTAGTGCTATGATAAACACAGAGTAAAACAGAGACAGGAAATGGGGGGTCTTTGGGTAATGAGTTCCAGCCACTCTTGAAACAGAAAGCCAGAGAAGGCATTACTTGAAAATAGTTTCTCAGTGACAGCTTAGTAATTTTTAGCTTGTTCTTTTACCATTAAAAGGGAATGGTTATTGCAGGTTTAGACTGCTATTTTTCCAGAGACTGACTGGCATGATATATCTTTTGAAGCCGTTTAGAATGATATTGCTGCTTGTTGCTAAATGTGATCTGCACTAAAACAAACAGATGCTCAGTCTGAAGTTTGTACAGTTGTGTGCTGCATATACATCCGTCGGAAGCATTCGGGAGAAGTCTGAGGGACAGACTCAGAAGATTTAAATAACGTCTGAACATGGATCCATGTTTTTAGATGTGAGGGAAGGAATAGGAAGAAATCACAGTTGAGTTCTTCAGAACAAAGCTTTATCCCCAACCCAAATAGTTGCTCTTAAACCTGGAAATATAATTGCTGAGATGGGCCCAAAGCATGGATGGTGAGATTGATATTTACAAGCACTTTACGTGGCTAAAGAGGGTAAGTAATTTATTGTGTTCTTCTGGTTCTTTGTGACAACTTATTATAGCTAACAAATTTCAAACTGTACAGCATAATGAGGAAAAATACAGCTAATGCTTCAGGTTTAAACTATTGCCAAGTTCTTCATGAGAAACTAATTATAGGCATATTTCCATAACGGGGAAAACAGCTGTTTTTGTCCTTAAAATGCAACTAAAATCAAGCTTTGAACTAATGGTAAAATAATATTTTATTTTACTTCCATGAAACCTCCAAGCTGCTTCTGAGACTGTAAACCTACAAGGTGCATCCATGTAAGAGTTTATTGTATGAAATGAGAGTGTGTTGCTTATAACCTACTCTAGGATAAAAGGGGGGGGTTGCTTAACAACGGTAGTTGTTCATTACTTAACCCTTTGTGCATAGGTGTAAGTGCAGGGAACTCCAGGATGGGAGGGGTCTGTTTGCTTTTCTGGGGGCTTTTTCTTTTTTTTAAACATATTTGTTTATGTATTATAAAAACAGACTAAATGCAGTTGAACTTTTAACTTTTTGGTGAATAATATAAACAAATTTAATTACCTAATAACTTGATGAGATTATTTTTGTCTTTTCTGCAAGTAAGTAGGTGCTTACAGTAAAATGTTCATTTAATCTAAGAACCAAGTGATTTTTAATGCTATTAAATGCTTTCTTGACTTCATGTATTCTTCAGTTTTTAAAGGTTGCAATAAATAGGCCATATGTAAATTATTTAAGGTAAAATGTATTTATCCCATTTAAGTATTAGTTATCTTATTAAATAACTTTCTCTGTAGGTAATAGCATATTTAGCTTTCATACTCCCCTTTATTATTTTCCAAAAATGTCTAGCTTTAAGCATTTCATGCAAATATTTTCCATGAAAACATTTGTATGTTTATAGAATCAAGCAAGTATTCATGTAGTTTTTAGATTTTGCCTGTTGTTGTATTAATGTTGAAATGTGTGGTAACTGACTATAACTATGTGAAATAATGTAAAGAGGAATTATTCTGATTGTGAAAGGTAAACAGGCTCTTCATTTAGGCTTTGCAACTCTGATTTGACTTCTTGAATGCATGTAAAGCTTCACTATATTATTTTAATCTCTGATAAAGGGTGAAGCTTGAGAAACTTGAAGCTCACTTTTAAAAACCTTACGGGAAATATTTGGTTCATTTCTGGAGGCCCTTGTATTTCTGGATGGGGGTATGCAGCAGGAAGTGGCAGTTGATAATTTTACTATCTAAAGTTAACCTGTGCTTTTCACATATAAAGGATAGGTAACTAACTTGTAATGCTGTTTTTGCTAGGGTAGATGTTATATTTCTGTTTTTATTGAAATAAGTTTTCAAACAATACAGTTTTCTTTTTCCTGCTTAGTAACATCTCTCCAAAGTTAGGTGCATCAAGTACAGGCTAATCAGAAAGTCCATCCTACATTGGAAAATGAAGTTAGTAACACATGTAAGTTTGTTCTAATAAAATGGGAGTGGTCAAGGAAGTAACTCAGTGAGTTGGAGTCTTCAGAGTTGACTTTTAAACTGTCTTGGACATTGCAGACATACCTCTAATCTTGTGTTTCTTATGGTAAAGAGTACATAACACCAATGCTTTAGAAATAATTCATTTTTGAAATGGGGTATAAAAGGACAATTGAAACCATATCTGAACAGGATGTGTAAGTTCTGTTAGGAGTAGAGGCTGTGTTTTGTATTGTTTTGAAGAAATGAAAGTTTAATGGCATTGCTGAAGTTGTGTGCAGTTCCTTTTATGTAGAGGACTATAAGGCAGAGCACCGATACTGCCCCCTTTTCTAGGGATGTTCCTTAAAGAAAAAGTTGTGTGAGGGAAGGGAAGTGAGGAACAGAAATAAGAAGGCTGCAAATAATCTTGCACAGCTTGCAGAAGAACTTGAGTCATTACGTTCCCAAATTCTTTTGATAAGTGACAAAATGTAGAAATGATCTAAGTGATTTATTGAATTCTCATGCCATAGAATGCTGGTGTTGTGTCACATGTTCTCTGGCACCAGTTGTGATAGCATATTAAGATTTCAGATCCTGTAATCGTAAGCTGATTCTCTTTGACTTATAATAAAAGCACTACTTCCCCCACAGTAAAGAATATTTCTCAGTAGAGAGCAACTGGAAATGGTCTTCCATAAACCTTCAGTGAACTGTGCCAAAGCAGGCTCCAGTTTCACCATGAGTTGAAAACGCTTAAGGGATAAGGATCAGTTGTGATGTTGCAGTTGGTTAGGTGGCATAGCTGGATTCGCATTACAGTATACAGTCTCTGGACTTCAGCTGCATGACTGGAGTGCAGGAACAAATGTAGGATCAAAACACTCAGGCAAGTTAAACAAATGGTGAAGCTGATATTTTCAGATTCTCAGGAAATAAGAATCAACTTGTAAGCAGCAGTCTCCTGTGACATTTAAATTGCACAGCAGAGCCTATACTGTGATAGCTGTAAGAAGAAAAACTGCTTAAATAAGGTTCAACTAAATGCCACCACAATTAAGCTCTGCCAAATATGCTTTCCTAGTTATGAAAAGATTTGTTAAGAGAGCAGTACCAGAAAGTATTCTAGGCTCTGTTTGATTATGATGAAAGGGCAAGTGAACAGATCGCCGAAATGCAGCAACCGGCCCTTGGTCATACAGTCAACATGGTTAAAATCTTTCCTTTAACTGGTAAGAAAGATATTACTAGTTGTAGTACGGTTGTTCCTCATAAACACAGGGAACGCATCCCCAAACCTGTAATATTTTGCCTACTAGTGGAAAAAAAAAGCAAAAAAGCAATTCAGTTGTGCCCAGTGCATGCTTAGCAAATTGCCATGCTCAGAGAAAACTATTTCTTATTCATCAGGACATCCATCTTATATTGCCTGAGAAGCTGAATGAGAACTGGCAGATACACATAACTCTATTCAGGTGTTATATGATTTTACGTTCAATCACTTACAATGATGGAGACATTCAGACCTTGCTGGTGTTATGAGCACGCCCAAGTATGTACAGCTTTGGTGGCCATGTCAATTTATATTGATGCAAGAGTGCCTCTCAGCAGTTTCAGTCCTTGTACACGCAGCGGTCCATTTCTAGCATTGCTGCTGAAGAAGCAGCATATTTCTTGTGGAGTGCTAACTTGGTGGTGGTTGTGATTCCTTTCAAGCCATTTTACAGAAAGGTGGATTTATGAATCAGACCAGTTTGTAACTAGGTCAGACATCACAGTTTCCCTGATGAAACTTTCTTTGATGGAGTGCAAAGCCAGAGATTCAAGAGGAAGGGATGAGCTCAAAGTTTACCCCTCTTGCATACAAACCTACTTCAGTTCCCTGGATTGGGGTCTTCGAAGTTTCTTAGAGAATTTTATATTTGCTCTCAATCACCAGTTTCTACTGTCTTCCCTTTGATCTCTGGTATTCTTTCCCTTGACCTTAACTAGTACCCATGTTTCTGAATCAAATCTGATCCTGATTTGACAGCATTAGCTAATAATATTTTTAAAAAATGTTGATCTCTATTGGAAGCTGTGATATAAGAGTTGTCTGAGATCATTAATGATGCCTTTAGTGGCCCAGTTAATTTAGCTGGTGGTTGTTGACTGGAAGTGTAATGGACAATCTTCCACCGTTTGTGGAATATCCAGTATAAGGGTAATGCTGTTACCTATTTTCATCTGTAGGGATGACATGAAATGAAAATACCTGTTCTTGACTCTTGTGTTTTGCTTTGGACTTTGAGTATTTCTACACCATGTCCTCACTGTGTCTTGTTAGGGAGGCTGCCAAACACATCCTGGTCCTGCTTCCATGTACCAAACCCAGAACTGTGCTGGTAAAACTACCATCAGTGACCATCCTCACACATGGCTGTGTGGCAGTGGAGCTCAATCGGCCACCCATGCAGTAGGGCCGAGGCTCCCAGATTGCGACCCAGAAGAACGGCAGGTGCTCCAGGGAATGCGAGCCCCAGGTTGAGCCCAGCTTATAAAGACTCACCAGTCCCGATGGGAGGGGAGGAACACGGTGGCAGAGTTTAAAATTTGCCTGGAACAGATGGGCAGGAGGACTGCAAGTGGCTGTGGCAGTCCAGCAGCAGCCACACAGCAGAGGAATTGCTCCTGCAGGGGCAAATGGTGGGAACCGTGGAAGCAAGTGGCTCTCATTGAAGCCAACTGAGAGGAGCTGGGTAACTTACCAGGAGGCAGCGACTGGTTTTCTGCAGTGACGATGTACAGAGGGGAACCGGAACTGACAAGACAAGAAAGAAAAGTTGTGAGTACTAGAGCTGAGCAAAGGAGAAGGGGAGCCAGCTTCCCCTAGTCTCAGTATACGGACTGTTTTGATTTGGAGTTTTACCTCCTGAGCTGAGGATATATGCCGGTGCAGAGTGTTTTTGTTTCCTTTATCCTCAATGCCGGGAAAAGACTTCGGGAAATTGTCTGAACATTCTTTACCTGTGTTTATCATCTAGGAGGCACCAGACAGGGTATAGAGGAGGCAGAGCCCCGAGACACAGGACTTGTGGTGTCTGTGTAAAGGCTGTATGAGGGCATTGAAGATCAGCCTCTCTCTATTTTTTTATAATACCAAAGATGTGGCAGGCAAGAACTTATAGCACTCACGCAGATGCATAAACCAGCAAACTGTCTACGTCCTGAGGAACAAGCATACTCTCTCCAGGCGTGAAGTCCTGTTGGGCAGCTAAGGACAATCATGGGAGGTTACACTGTAGCGTAGCACCTTCATTGACAAATTTCCTGGTTTGGCACATGCAGGAACAGGTGGACTGCGGAGGACATACCCAGAGGCATTGCAGCTAGGACCTGTGCTAGGTACTCCAGCTTCAAAAGCCGTATTGATCTATCATGTTCAGTCTTAAATGGGTGTACACCAGTGCTACCACTTATCTCAATTCTATTTGTATGAGCAATAAAATTATTAATTTTTGTTGGGTGTGCTGGGTCAGTTGTCCCCACCCA